ACAAGAGTGTTACTAACTTACCAAACTGCAGTGGTTCACTTAACAATAAGAAAATGGAGCTTCACTTAACAACAGAAATTTTGGGCTCAATTGTGGTCATAAGTCAAGGGCTACCTGAACTGCTCTTCTAGCAGTATTTCTATTAGATTCCCTGTGTGGTTTCTACTTTAAACATATTTTTTTCCAAATTCCATGATTTTTTTTAATATTATGTCAATTTGTGCTTCATTTTCCTGCAGTTGGAAGTATACTGCAGTCTATATATATATGTAAGACTGCTCTTTGTTTTTCTATTTTTCTGCTGTTCTGTCTTTATATTGCTGAGATGATTGTTTTACCTATGCAGCCTTAATAAATTTAATCCTGTGATGCTGAAATGGCATATATGCCAGTGTTGCAGATGGAAATGCTGACTTAAAGTTTTTGGGAGCCGCAGTAGAAGTTGCTAATTAAGGAAAGTCATTGTTCGGTCACTGGTATGACATGAAGTTGATATGCGGATTGAGATCCCAATTGTGCTGTTAGTGAATGGATTTGGATAAGGGACTGGTTGGATTCACACATTGTATTCATCTGTAATATGGCCTGTTTGGCCACTGCTGAGTCTGTAATGTGAGCCACCAATTAGGACTTGTAGACTATAGTTTGTGAAATAATATAACTGCAGATGCAACTAATGATGGGTTAGTCAAAGACTATAGTTAAGCACAGTATGTGAGCCATCTATGTTTTTTCCTGTATTATTGAAAAGTTATGAAAATGACTTTAATAGAACTTAATAAAGGCATTAAACCTGTAGTGTAGCATGGCAAAACTTCCAAGAACTGAGTAGCATTTATAGTAAGGTTTTCTTCTCTAAATGACCCACAATCTGTGCTTGCCTTTATGAAACTACTGTTGAGATATGCAGTCAGACTCTCGGAAATTTTGTGGCTCCAGGAGGTGGGACGGATGTTACTTTGCTCTTCTGGATTCACAGATGTTAAGAATTGTCCTCATTAAAAGGAAGAGAGAAACAAATAGCCCAACAGGCAAGAGTATTGCAGTTTTCTTCATAGCCATCTTTGTAAACAGCTTGTTTTTGGGGCATAAATGTCCCACAAGATGTTTTCTTAGTAAATTATATAATCCTTTGTGTACTACTTAGTGTTGCTGGTTTGAATAAATATAGCTGTCTCATAGTCAACACACATATTAAGCATGATTTATTAATAAACCACAGTTAGCTGGCTTGCCTATTGTGTTAAAGATACAAGCTGTGTTTTATAGACTACAGTTGTTAGGTTCATACAAGCTAAGCAAAAGTCAACAAATATTTAGTCAGTGTAAAGTTCTCTCAGTTATGGCTTGTCAACCATGGCTTATGTCTTATTAAAATGTGCAAATGCTGTAGATGCAAGAATCTTCTTTGAAAATATGAACTATGGCTGCTGACATTTATATTTAAAGATATTACATTGTTTTAGTTAGTGTAATTTGTGAATATAACCAGAACTAAGTTAAAACCATGTTAGATTTGACGCAATATTTGAACTCAGCATCTATTCAAAGTCTTATTAACTAGGAACAAAACTTATTTTAATGTGTGAACTTGCCATTATGCATGCATTAAAAAGCAATAAAGGATTGTAATTGTAGGAGAACTCATGTTACAAAATCTCTTGTAGACGATATTGTATTCTGGATCCTACTGTATTTTACATTTTCAGGTGTTAAACAGGCACTTGATTTATGAAAATGAATCAAATTGATGCATAATAAGGTTAAAGCAAATGTGTAAACATGCAGGTCCAATCCTAAATTTCAGTTATTCCCCTGACCTACTGTTATAACAAGAGCCTGTATCTTCCTTTTGATGCAAACGTACTCTGTAGTATTATATTTCACTTTCAGATATCTGTGTTTTGAGACACTTGTTACAGATAGGCATTTTCTGTTGATTCTGCACAGGGGAAAAATACTGTTATAGAGATGAAGTTTGATACATGTTATAAATTTTGTGGTTATTGCCTATCTAGAAATGTTAAATGGATAATTACAAACTTCAGCTGTTCAAAATATTAGTATAGTAGTTAACCATGATTAACCCAGTTGGATTCACAATCAGAAAAATTCATAAACCTTGGTACATAAGAGCCGAGGTGGCGCAGTGGTTAGGATGCAGTACTGCAGGCCACTTCAGCTGACTGTTATCTGCAGTTCAGCGGTTCTAATCTCAC